ATTATACAGGAGTCAGACAAACAGACAGGAACTTGCAGCCGAGTTTTCCTGGTTTTCACCTCTTTGAAGGGACAGGCAATCTGCTGTGCTATGTAGGTCCGAACGATGTGTCTTGTCCGTGCTTTTGGTCATGGACCCCTCTCTTCCTCCCCTGCTCATTTTTGTCCCATCACCGTGCTTGCTTGGCTCTTACTCATTCGTACCCCACCAACCCGCCCCTTGCTCGGACGATCTGATGGACGATGGCCAACTGAATGAATGAAACACATACATATATACGTCTACGTACTGACCACAGGGTGAATCCATATTCACTTCTCGTCAAAATACTCCCTCTCTCTGGGGTTTCTGGGTTTGCAACCCTACAACCCCTTCCATACAAGGGATTTTCAGTGCGAGCGAAGCACACACACGCATACAAGGGATTTTCAATGCGAGCGAAGCGAGTGTTGGAAATCCCTTGTATAAGTACTACTGATACATTGATGTATTCATGTATTCAAGCAGTGGGTTTGAGATCTCGCGGCAGAATCGATGGCAGAAAATGACGGATCTATGTTGGTGTGACGCTTGACGCGCCGTTGACAGCGATGCAGACGTCACGACGTCAACAAAGGTCAGCAGCGGCAACACCAAAGCAGGTGCCGCATCCCACAGCATCGAGCCGAGATCATCATGTTGTCTTCTGCTTTAATCGTTGTCGTCTTTCTCGCATCAGCTTCCCCCCTGTCATCTGCCTGCTATGCCGAGTGGAGTGGGTGGAGCGAGTGCTCCGCCTCATGTCTGTCGGTCCGCACCTTCTCCCTCCCCCGCGAGTGGAGCGACGAGGCCAAGCAGCTCAGAGAGCGAGGTGTCCACGGCTACGCCCTCTTCCTGGGTTGTCCCTTCCAGCAAGGCGACCAGCAGTCAAGGCCTTGCACAGGCGGCAAATGTGAGAGGCCGCCGGTGGCAGCTGACAGCGGCCGTGAAGATGGTGGCAGCAACAGTCTCGTATTAAGGGAGCGAGGTACGCAGGGAGGGTGCGGCGTAGGCAGGCAGTGTTGACGTGAGGTCGATGTACGCCTGTCTGTCTGTCTGTCTGTTTGTTGATCTGTCTGTCTGTCTGTGCATTGTGTTGGTGTCTGTCCTGCAGACCCACCAGTGAAGGAGTGCGAGGGCGAGTGGTCACAGTGGAGCACCTGTGCATCCGACTGCAGGCGCACGAGGACATTCATCCTTCATGGCGATGTGGCCGGTGACGATGTCCCACACGCTGCTGGCGAGGGCCACATCACCGTCACCACCTTCAGCAGCAACACCCCCTGCATGAGACCTGCGAACTGGACACAGGAGGAGCCCTGCGACGATGGCGAATGCACCAAAGGTAAATGTCACATACACAACAGCCCCCCCAACACACAGTTTGGACGTCTGTGTGTTGCTGGCATCAGGTCTGGATGGTGTGGCCGTCGATGACTTTCCCCCCGCCCCTCGCACACGAGAGGAGGCCGAGCGCAGCGTCCCAGACGATACCGATGGATGGCCCGGCACGGCCATGTGGCTGGCCATCTCTATCCCCTCTGCCATCCTCATTGTGGTAGTGGTCATCGTCATTATTATCTACCGGTGGCATCTCTGCACCAGGGCGCAGACAGCAGACGGGCCTGCTGCCCCGCCCACCGAGTCGTCCTCAGAGATCCCTTGGCCATTTCTCGAGAAGAAGCCGAGTGCCGTCCTGCAACTGGTACGATAAAGCATAGGGCGGTCTTGAGCATGTCGTACTGCCGAGTGCTACCCACCTTCACGAAATACCTGGCACACAGGACAACAGCACATCACACATGTGTCTGGCCGCGTGTGTGATGTGTCAGGAGGCTCCCTCGCCCCAGAGGGTTGGCGGCAGACTGGTCATTCCGGGCATCAAACGATCCCCCCAGCAAGCAGCCGAGGGGCCTGCAGCCAGCACCGATGCTTACCTGGAGCGGGGCATGGTGGTGGTTGGTGCGTCGCCGTGCGCGCCATCGACGGCAGAGGGCTCTGCTGCATCGCGGGTGATCAGCAGTGGGCAAAGCAGCACGCCTTCCTTCGGCAAAGGGGAGGCAGAGATTGCTGACAAGGCGGCTGTCGTGTGTTAGGTATATTGCTTCTTCGCTCAGTCCGCTTCCTTGCTGTTTGTCAAGCTCGCCTGCTGGGTTTCATGATGTGTGTGTATAGCAAAGACGAATGGGTCAGCGCGGGCGTGTCGCTATTTTGTTGAAAGCTGCAATCCAATCCGTCGTGGCTGTTTAGTTCTTTGTATGTATGTGTGGCAAGGTTATTGAAGGAAGGTGAGACGGCACACGGACATCCATTCATCCACATGCATGGTTAAAAGCACAGGTAGGTATAGCAAATCACGCGAGGAAGGTCCGCATCCGCATCACGTACCTGCAGCATTCACGTGGTCCGGTCCGTAGGTGCACATGACAGCGTCAGTCATTGTGGGAAAGTCAATCAGTACTAGTGCGTCAGTCAATCACATCCTGCTGGCAGGGCAGGCCATCCACCCACCCACCACCCACTCACACATCAACACAACACAGCCTCCACGGCACCGCACTCTACTGCCGTCTGTCTTTGCCTCGGATGAGCCGGGTCGGGTGATCCATCCATCCATCCATCGGTCGGTGGATTACTTTGGGTTTCTGAGTACGATGATGACGCTGTCGCCTCGTAGGAAGAGCCTGGAGATGTATCTCTCCTTATTGACCGCCTTGGCCTTCTTCTTCCCAGACCCCTTCGGGTACTCCGTCCACATCTCCCGAACCTGACACGACACACACCACATACACACGACAGACACGCCACGCAATGCCATGCCAGGCGATGAGCCACCCGCAGCAAAGCATTGCCATGTTGTCATGTTCAGACACACCTGCTCCAAGACCATGTTGCAGTGTCTGTCAAACGCCTTCACCTGAACACACATCGAATCCAGCCACAGAGCGGTCACGGTTCGTGTTGTCTTGTGTGTTCTCGCTCACCCGTGCGATGATCTTGCGGTTGTTTCTGCAGTTGATGAGCACCTGCGCATTGTCCTTGACCGACTGAACAGACAGACGTGACACACACGCACGGCCACGGTGAGCGACGTTGCTGGCGCCTGTTCAGCGTGTGCGTCAGTCACACTGGCGTGTGCTCACTTGAAAGAGGACGCTCAAGGGACCCTCCTCAGGCGCATCTCTGTTCGCCGTGTCCGTCTTGTCTGAAGCACGACACACAAACCACACCAACAAACATTCAGGTTGCCATGTCTGATACTTTTTGCGCGTCGTCAGCTTACCTTTGTCTGTCATCGCCATCCTGTCAGCTTTCAGGAGAACTTGGGAGATCTGGGTTTAGGGTCCTCCACTTCCTTGGGCATCAAACCCTAGACCGAGAAACCCTACATGTGTGGGCCCCCAGTGCAGGTTGTCGTGTTTGCGTTGGTTTGAGCACATCATGGGCGGGCTACGAGGGCCTCTCATCCTGTTGGTCTTGTCAGTCTCGCTGGCCTTGGCCCACGTGCACGGAATCCCAGCACGAAGTGAGACGCCGTCCCGTCCCGTCTCCCCAACCACTTGTCTTCTGCGTCGCTTTTCGCAGGTGCCCGGCAGCCTGTTGACGGAGATGAGGCAGCAGAGAAGGGCTCCAAGGGCTTCATCTCCCCCTGGCCTGCTGTTAAGCTGGCTGGTCAACTCGGAAAAGCCGGCTGGAAGATGGCAACCGGACAGAGAGGTGTGCACCACAGATCTATGTGGCAACCGGACAGATCTATGTGGTGCAGACCCGGAGAAGGTGAAGAAGATGGAAGAGGAAGGCAGGTACGGCGTGCCGTCCTTCAAGCCTCTCTCTGGTGAGCAATGCCATCCTTCGCCTCCATTGAGTGTGTCTTATGCCTCCACGTGTTAAGCAACGGAAAGCCACCAGAGCGTCTGATCTGTGTGTTTGCTCATGCATTCCCTCAGAGTTGGCTGGGAAGGCCGGCACAGGGCTGGCGAAGGAGGCGGGAAAGTTCTACCACGAGACAGGTCCAAGTCTCGGCCAGAGAATGATTGAAAGCATGGTGGGCGCCGGCAAGGCCGCCCAGTACTACGCCAAGCCCGCATTTGGCACCACATCCGAGGCCTACAAGCAGCATGCCATCGACACCGACGTGGCCAGCCAGAGGCAGGAGAGAGACATGCTGGCGCTCCAATCCAAAGCCGATTTCCTCAAGGAGGAGCTGAAAACGCTCGAGGGCAAGAAGGACGCCGACAGCGTGAGACGCAGGAACGAGATGGAATCCTACCTGGTCGGTGGGGTCTGTCTGTCTGATGGATGGATGTAGGCATCAAAGCTTACTCCCTGTGTGTGTGGCTGGCTTTTCGATTGTCAGCCCGGCCTGGAGCGAGACATTCTTCAGGACAAGAAGAGCATCGCAGCGCGGCAGCAGCAGCGGGCCAAGATGGCAGAGGACGAGTTCAAGTACGACAAGGCGACCAACCTGGTGGGGCCCTGGGGCTGAGTGGCCGGTCAACGATCTGAGACACAGAGAAATTCTTACAATACCCCATCCCTTTTTAACGCCATTCTTTCAGTCGTGCAAAGCGTGAAAGAGACACTGAAAGAGCCATGGACATGGACGGGGACATGATTGATCAGTGAATGAATGAATGAGTGAATGAGTGAATGAGTGAATGAAGGAATGAATGAATGAAGGAATCAGTCAGCCCTCCCACACAGATGAGAAAGGCACCATGCCAGACACTCACCTCACGTGCATTGCGGCTCTGGTAGTGATGACAAGGCCAGTGACCCGGGTGGATGATCCTCAGGTGTGGTGCAGAGACCCGTGCTGTACCGGACGGCCAAGGGGAGACAGCAAGGCTTCTATATAGACACAGTATAACAGGGGGTGCGTTAGAGACGGCCTCTCGTGTGTGTTGTGTCCGGCCTCCAGGGTGTGTTGTCTCTCCAGGTGTTTGCAAGCTCCTTTGCAACACTCACTGGTGCGGTGTGGATGTGTGTCGACTCGACATACAAGGATCGTAGGCAAAAGGCACATGCATTCATTTAATTGATGTCAACACGACACGATGGATGCGATGCACCCATGCCATGTGTGTACGCGAGTCCAGCCGGCGAGACCATGCGATGCAAGCAAGACAGTCAGTGTCCAAACACACACACACACGCACGCACACGCACATACATCATTCCACTTGTAGTATCTCGGTAGGCTGCACAGACTGACTGACAGGGAGAGAGGAAGAGGCATAGAGCCCTCAGAAACACACCACACACCTCTGCCTGTACCCACACCACACCACACAACACGCATCTGTCTATCTACCTGACTGCACGCGTGTCCGTGTCAGCGTCTGCGTTATCATTCTCTTCCTATGATGACGAAGAAGCCCATCGTCCCAACCAGCACGAACTTCAACCTGTGGTGCACAGACCAGACCAGACAGGCATACAGCCAAGCACATCACATCTTCGCCCTTTGTGTGCGTGTCGGCTGGCACACTGCTGACCATGGGTAGTCGTTGAGCCATATTGTAACCATCCCCACGTACGGCAAGAACCTGTGCAGATGACACGACCAAAGGAACCAAACACATGTGCTGCCTGGGTCGATTGCGGGGTGTGCGGTTCTGGTTTGGTTGCTTTGTCGTGTGTGGTGTGTCATACGCGATAGCTCTGCCCATGATGTCGCTTTTGTTTAGCCACAGCTGGCCCGGTGCATAGAGCCCCCGGTCATCCACGTCGTTGTTGTCACCCTTGGTCAGGATCTTGACATCACCCTTGCCCCTGACAACCCATCAGCAACACACTCTCACAGAGTGGTGTCATCCCTCCCTCCCTCCCTCTGTGAATGGTCACGTACGTTTCGTGCACTTCGAGGACTCTGTGTACGATGGGAATGTCGCGGCCCTTGATCTTGAACACCACCACATCGCCGGGTAGCACGGGTGTGTCGGGGTTGTTGAGGAACAAGATGTCACCGCGATAAAAACCCGGCTCCATGCTCCCACTGAATGACATGGCAGCACAAACAGACAACACATGTGCTGTGCCGTGCTGTGCCGTGCTGTGCCATGCTGTGCCATGGCTGGTGCGAGGAAGCTGTTCTGACCTGAGTACGACGACCACAGGCGACTCTGAGCCGGTGATGACCATGAGGCCCTTCCAAAGCATTAAGGCAGAGAAGACGATACAACACAGATTCAAGATCTGCTGCACAAACTGCACACACAAGCAGCAACAGACAGACAAACAGACAGACAGACAGAGACAACCGACAGACAGTCGTTCACTTGTTCTTGCATCGGTGGCCTGCCGAGATCTGATCTCACCTGCCGTGGTTTGCTGAACAGCGCCCGGAACTCATCCCAGTACTGACGCACCGTGTCCATCATCCTCACTCACACAGTCACACCGCCTACAGATCCCTGCTTCTCGTCTTCACGCTCAGTTGGCTACCTCATCGCAGGCACGAACGAACGCACACCCAAGCGTTTCTTCACCACGTTCGCTCTTGAGCTTGCAAACAGTTGCGAGCTTAGCTCCGGGAGGTCCCAAGGCATTAAGAGGCTTCCAGGATGTCAGATGAGAAGCTGATTCGTCGGCTGGGGTACGAGAGGGTGCGGCCCATCGGTCGGGGTCAGCACGGGCTTTGTTACCTTGTCAATGAACACAACGAGGGCAAGGCGCAGTCTGGCAAGGGCAAGTTCAGGGGCCCCTTTGTGGCGAAGCTGGTGGACCTCGGACTGCTGCCGGAGAATGACCGGTGAACACACACACACACCACAACTCATCCCGCAGCATTCCGTTCCTGTGTTGTGTGTGCTTTGGCTGTGCGTCATCCATCGTGTTTGCAGCAAGATGGCGTATCAGGAGGTGGAGTTGCTTGAGCGGCTGCAGCATGACTACATCGTGGGCTACAGGGACAGCAGACTCGACAGCGAGAGGGATGTACTCGTCACCGTCATGGAATTCTGGTCGGTCAGCAACACCAGCCAGAGAGACGGGAAGCCTTGCCGCGCTTGTCGTGTTGTTTCTGGATGGATCTACCACTCACTCTGTGTGTGCGTCTGCCTGCAGTGAGGGCGGCGATTTGAAGGAGCTGATCAACCAGGTGGCGGCGCAGGACCTCTATCTGGCCGAGGAGCAGATCATGCGGTGGTTCGTGCAGCTGGCGCAGGCACTGGCCTACCTACACAGCAACCGGGTGCTGCACCGAGACCTCAAGACCAGCAACATCTTCATGACAAGTGACAGGCAAACGGCCAAAATAGGAGACTTCGGGTGAGGATGAGTATGAGCGCCTTATATATGATCACGACACACTCACCCGGCCCGGCCATCCATCGACCTATCTGTGTGTCCTGCCTGTGTGTGGTGTGGTGTGCACTGACTGCAGTATATCTCGTGTGTTGGAGGGTGCGCTGGACTTTGCTGCCACGACTGTCGGGACGCCATACTACATGAGGTGAGGTGGCCAGGCAGCAGGCAGGCAGGCAACCAAATTATAGATAGGAACGGGATGGACGCATCGCATCGCATCGCATCCCCTCTGTGGTTGTGTTGTGTTGTGTTGTCTGTCTGTCGATTGTTCGTTCGTTCAGTCCTGAGGTGTGTCAGAACAGCCCCTACAGCTTCAAATCTGACGTCTGGTCACTCGGGTATGTGTGTACCCATACATCCATCAATAGGAAGGGGGCATCGAATTGGCTGTCTGTTCGTGTATGTCTGACTGACTGGATGTTGTGTGTGTGTTGCAATGCAGGTGCGTCTTATACGAGCTCTGCATGCTCAAGGTAAGGTACTAGACTGTGGATGGGCAACTAGACTGTGGCAATGTCCATCTGTGTGTGTGTGTGTGTGTGCAGCATGCATTTGACGCCAACAGTCTGTTGGGGCTGGTGTACAAGATCGTGTCGGGCAGCAGCCCGCCAATCCCACCGTTCTACTCCAAAGACCTCAGCACACTCATCGAGTAAGCCAACACACACACACACACACACACGCGCGCGCGCCACCCACCATTCATTGCAAATCGAATGTTCTCCTTTCCCCTCGCACACTCAGCAAGATGTTGGCCAAGGATGCGGCAGATCGTCTGACGATAGACGAGGTGCTGGGCAGTCCCTTCGTCAAGGACTACCTCCGGGTGGCCGCCATGGAGGAGCAAAACCTCATCACACACGAGGCCGCTGACGCCATCGGCTTTGTCAAAGTCGTCAAATACACTGACGGACACATCCACGTAAACCACACACATCACAGATACAGTGGAGGGATGAATAAACGTCTCTCTCAATGCATGTCTCTCTCTCTCTCTCTCTCTGTGTGTGTGTGTAGGAGAGCCGGTTAGAGATATCTCAGCGTGGCATCATGGTGCCGGCCGACCTGACTCCCGAGGCAGCGGCGGCGCTGCTCAAGGAGCGTGATGAGATGCCCACCCAGGTGGTTCCTGCTGCGTCCGCTGCTGCTGCATCCGAGGCAAAGGTGCCCGAAGTCCCCCTCCCACCCAAACGAATACTGGTGCGTTCCTTCACACAGTGCAATGCATGTGATGTGAGTGGCCAGCAAGCCGACATTTGGATGGACTTTGCTATGTTGCGTGCAGCCCATCCCAGAGGAGCACTATTCGATATTGGTTGGCCGCGTGCGGCGGACCTTGGTGCAGCGGCGGCTCAACTGGCTGCACGCCTTTGCGTTCCACGACAGAGAGGGCAGGGGCTCGCTGCCATTCAGGTACCGCACATACACACCAACCACCACACACACACACACACATCTGCCGCATGGCTGGCTCGATTCGTCGATCAGTGAGGCGTCTGAGATGTTGCTGGTGACACTGCACCTCACGCTATCGCGGGAGGAGGTGTCGCTGCTGCTAAGGTGTCTCGACGACAGGGACGACGGCTGCTTAAGAGTGGACGCCTTCCGTGCCGCCCTCCTCGAGACCGGCAAGGCCTCCACACTGGCTTCGGTGGAGCAGTGGGCGGTGGAGCTCATCACTCACAGTGGACATGCCGACGAAGTCAAGCCGCAGTTCGACCAAGCCGATATCGATGGGTGAGTGAGGACCGGTGAGGGCAGCATTGGTCACATATATGTCTGATAGATGTGTCTGCCTGTGGTGCAGCGAGGGCATGCTGTCTGACCGTGAGTTTCGGCGCGTCATGTCGCACACGATAATGCAGGACGCCACCGACAAGGTCACCGCCCTCGTCAAGAGCAGCGACCACCCCCTTGTCACCACAACAGACGAGGCGCTCAAATACGCCCTCAACAGGATCGTCCACCTGACAGAGAAAAACGGACAAGTAAGCCAAAAGACGACGCACCAGAGAGCATCCCTCCCGTGTCCCATCTGTCTCTGTGTATGCCATCAGGGTGAGGTGAACTACGTCGATTTTCTGCGTCGGTTCTACCCCGCTGCCCTGATGGTCAGTGATACCAACGACACAACCCACAGCTCCAAGGACACCGCTGCTGGGCTGTTGAGGGTGCCCACGCCCGTCATGGGTGCGTCGAGGTCGGCTCCAACCTCACCAGGCGGGCCGCGCAACATGCCTGCACCCATATTCAGACCCACGGCAAACACACGTACGTCACTCAAGACACACTCACTCAGTGGTCCCTCCATTCCATCACCCACGTGTGCCTGCCTGTCTCCTGCTCAGCCCCTCCGTCGTTCGCCACGAGTTCATCGTCCCTGTCGCAGAAGCCCGCCCCCCCTCCCCTCCCCGCATCCCTCACCAAGGGCGCCGGTGCAGCCCTCCCGCTGCCCCCATCCATCGACGACGACCTCACATCTCCTGCTGGTGGGCCACAACTCGCCCGGAGCGGCGGGAGATCGGCCACTACTGCTGGCGGTGTGGGTGGTGTGGGTGTTGGAGGTGGTGGTTGGCACCATCGTGTTGTGGATGAGGGCCAGCCGGTGAGGAAGACAGCAGCGATGGATGTGATGAGAAAGCACCAGCGGCAGAAGAGCCCGACTGTGCCTGCCAGGCACTGATGAGGGGATGGATGGATGGATGGGCGGATGGATGGGTGCATGTGTCTGTGGGGGTTGCTCTAGCTGGCCTTGCTCTGTTCTGTTCTGCTGCCCTCATTTCTCAATGGTTTGTCCATTTGTGCGTTGCTCGGATCGTTGTGCTGGTCTGTCTCTTTCTTATGCTGAGATCTATTCATCGAGATGCGTGGTGCGGTGCATGTGTTGACGACGGACATTAATGAAGACGACAGATACACGTATCCACAGACTCGTGACATCGCATCCAGCAGACGGTGTCTTGTTCATTCGCGCACACTGCCATGCAGACAGACTATCCGATAGACACCTCTAGTCGGCCAACACCTTTCGGCATGCAAAGCGTGCACCCACATGCCTGTCAGCCGGCCCCCCAAGGTGTCCGTCTATCAGTTTACTCGAGCCGCACCAGCTCGAGCCTGTCTGACTGTTTTTTGATAGTTGGTACGGTAAGCTCCGTTCTAATCCATCGCAGCTGAAACTTGGTGCTCGAGAGGTTGAACAGGGCGTGCGCTGTGCGGAACCTGTCGGTGATCCTCTCCGACAGACAAGTGCGGTCGAAAGCTACGTGCGCCTGCTTGATCCCCTGTGGGCAACACACCACACAAGTGGTCTTGTTCCTGAGCTCTACTCTTCTGTGCGTATACCTTGACATCGCTGGCTGCCTGCAAAAACGCCAGCACATTCCCGTGGACTTTCTCGACCTCCGAATCCTGAGAATGGGCCCACAGGAGACCTGCACACCAAAAAATGCAACGTCATATACACGTCGGCCGCCAATCGATACCCTCTACATGCAGGGACAGCTCTTCTATCGTCGGCAGCGCCTCGCGAATCGCGCCCAATTCACCAAATGGGGGTCTGCCGGTCAGGCTGGCTGCATGCAGCCCCAGCGTCACCCGGCTGATCGTCTTGTCCGGGGCTGCGGCGTGAAACGCCTCGAGGAAGTCCCGCGCCTCACTCCCACTGCCGGCCTTCACACACTCGAGTGAGGGCATCTGCTGGGCGGCCTCCACCGCTTTGGCGATCCGTGTAGATCGGAGGCAGAAGGTGGTGGCCTTCGGAAATGCCGTTGGCGTCACCGGCTGGGCAGGCAAGGCGTCTGTGGGGTCCTTGAATACCACGACGCGCACTCCGCTGGCGAAGCCAGCCACGAGCTTTCTGACGGTGGGGGAGCGGTGGGCACTGCTCCATGTGACCAGCTGGTGGTCGACCTTCCCCTCCTCATGCAGGCACGGCATCACCAGCTGGCCGAGGGCGTCGGGGTGCATCACAGCGTCACTGACAGAGAGACAGGAACAAAACAAGCACACGCGGCTGAAGTACGAGGCATGCAAAACACTCTCTTTATGTGGCCGGCCTTACACGAGCTCTGCTGCCCTTTCGATCAGCTCTCTCGTCTCGGCTGTGTCCTCCAGATATCCCTCGATTGTGTCCTCGGCGAAATCCAGGTGCATCTCACGCACGCTGTTGACGCACCCCCGGCGCACCAGCAGATCCCGGAAGTCCTGCATCTCGGCAGGCTCCCAGCGGAGGTTCGTGCTGTCACTTGCGACGCGCACACGGCCGAGGGAACGCAAACCCGACAGCGACTTGCCCTCAGGAATCCCCCTGAGGAACTCATCGTTATCCCATCCAGTCCTGCACACACACATAACGAGATGGCGGTCATTCCTGCCTGCCACACGGTATGCACCCGCACCCATGTGTATCCGTCCGCCGTACCCGCGTGTGTCGTACTCGAGCTTCTCCAGCCGGGTACCGTCCCCAATCTACTGCCGGGCCCCCTCGAACTCGTCGGCCTCGCTGAACGTGCGCTGGAAGGTCAGCACTCGGACGTTAGGCGTGTGCCAGTTGCGGCCCACCCGAGCAGCCGCATGATCGAACAAGACGCCAATGACGGTCGTGAGGGCGGGCAGATGGACGGGGAAGGTGGGGGGCGGGCCGAGGGGGTCCCACTCACCAGCATCGCCATTGGCATCTTCGAACCGCAGCACCTGGAGTGTGGCTTGTGAAGGGGGATGGCTAGGTGGCGGGGCGGCGCTCTCGATGCCGTCATCCATGGCTGACGATGATGCGGCGCTGCTGCCCGGCTGCTCACTGCTGGCGTGGCCGTGTGCATGGCCTTCAACTAAGGATACCCATGCACCGTCACACCAGTAGGCTTCGCCTAGGTGGCGGATGGTCAGTTCTTTGAGGTTGCGGCTCCTCTGGCCCCACCTATGCGCCATATCGCACGACATTCGCTCCCACATGCCGCGCGCCTCGTCGTCATCGCTGTCCATCGTCAGGTGGCTGTACTGCTGCACCGCTTGGTGGAAGATGCGCCGGCCGATGGCCGGCCGCAGCCGTGCCAGCTCCCAGGGCTGGAAGTGGCCGAAGATGCACGCACAAGTGTCGGGGGCCAGGACAGGCTGCCATCAAGGGCACACACCACACACGGCACAACCAAAATTGACACATACCAATTTGAGTGTGTCTGTGGTGTGCGTACCGGTTGACTCATGGGGTCGTTGCCGCTTCGAAGTACGAGACGATACGAGGGAGCACGAGCGGGCTGCTCATCCTAACATACACAGAAGAGAACAGTGCGTCTGATGACAGCCGCTGCCATGCTCCTCTTGACTTTCCAGTCACCTGTGTCTGTGCTCGCGGGTCAGCGTTGTTGGTCTCTTGTCCTTGGCGCGCCTCATCTGCCGTCGATGCGGTGAGGGCAGCCACGGCCCGCGCAAGCGGGATCCGCTGCAGTGCTAACTGTGTGGTGACGGCCGCCATGTGGGAGGCCATCAATGTCATCTGCTCACGCACATCTCGGGCCGCGCGCAACGATGCCTGCACACAGCAACACACACACACACACACACACAATGGAAGGACTGTGTGTGCAGTTCCCCCACTGGCTTGTTCTCGGGCGTCCGTACCTCTGAAATTATTTGCGGAGGCTGCAACTGCTGCACGTGTGACGAAATGCTGTCCACCTGAACCGAGAAGACGACACCGGGCACAGAGACGATGCCGCTAGCACCTTTGCTGCAGCAAAGGGCTGGCGGCTCATCTACCTCTGCTAGGAAGCCATTCAGGTCCGCAATACTACTCTTCAACGATTTGGCACCATCACCCAGCTGAAAACACAGGACGAACCATGGACGGGGATGGACATGTACACACGCGCCGGCGGAAAAGCCCTGTTTTCTCACCTGCGCAACAACCGTGTTGGCCGAGTCGCCCTGACGCTGGTCAACAGTGTCATGCGATGGACTGCTACTTAAGATCTGCAGACAGACAGGTGCAAGGGATACACATCAAATGCACGGCGCAGGTGAGTGTCTACGATGCATTTTGTGTGCATGAGTACGTCGCTTTGGATCTGCTGAAAGGCCCTTCGCACCTGAACACCATGGATGACAGGGATGAGAGCACCAAGCGATTTTGGCTTCTGGATGATGAATCACCTGGTCCAGGTCCATTCGTTCTAACCGCAGATAAGAAAGGCCCTCGAGATTTCTCGACGAGAGACTGCCCCCTTTGAGCTTGCAGGAAAAAAAAACACACTCGACGCACATTCCATACATTCGCAGTGCCCTTGTCTGCGTGCTTTGGATGTTCTGCAGGCAGATGAAGGAGGCCGACGATAAGCGATAAGCGACCACAACGACAACATGTGCGAGGAGATTCAGCGGCTGTGGGACGAAATGCGCAACCTCAACAACAACCTCAACCGCAACCTCAACAACATGCTGGCAAACCATCCAATCAGCCCTCGTGCCCCACCCCTCCTCCGACCGCAAAGGCCGCCCGGTGGCGTGCGGCCACATGTGCCTATGGAGCAAGGAAGGGCCCGCTTTGTGGACGGCTGGGATGGCAATGGGACGCAGATACACAGTGGTAAGCAATTCACCCGCCCACAAGATATGTACATATTTGAGGGACTCATGCGGCATGTGTTGTATCATCTGTTGTCGTTTCAAGAGTGTTTTTGGGTGAAAGGACGTTTGGTCGTGTTGTAGCCGCCATCGATCTGTCTACGGGGCAGCGCGTGGCCATCAAGGTCCGTGCACATACAAGCTATGACACATGCAAACATCACACGCACCATCACTCCTTCAGGTGGTGCGTGACGTACGGGAGTACACCGACCACGCGGAGACTGAAGCGAGTATCCTCCGCAAAGTCGCCATCCGTGAGAGGGAGCTCCGTCTCGAAGAGACCCGGCGCAACGCAGAATGGGGCCGCGGAGGTGTGCTGCCCATGCTGTCGGACTCCCGCATCGTCAAACTCATCGACAGCTTCTACTACTGCAAGTGGTGCAAGCGCACACGCTGTCATCGGGAATGTCGGGCGGCGGGGTGTGCGGCGAGGGATGTGGGGCAGCACATGTGTCTGGTATTCGAGAAGCTGCAGTGTGTACGACCTCCTGAAGCGCAAGGCCTTCAAGGGCTTATACCCAATTGCTTATACCTGGAGGATGCTCTATCGCGTGAGAGAGCGGCTAGAGAGCGGCAAACGCGCGCACGACGAACAGAACACCGCTGGATGTGTGTTGGTTGATATGATAGGTGGATGGCGTCTGTCCATTACAGTGAGTCAGGGCACTCCTGAGTTCTTCATCTACGAGTATGAGGATGAGGTTGGAGAGTGTCTGTGGGTGTGCTACGACGCCTACACGACCAGCCAAATGGCCGACCACGTGCTGTCCGACCTGATGTCAACAACAGCCCACCGGGGAGACTGATGGCGGCGAAGGACAGCACGCTGGAGCTGCGCATCGACCACGAGACGCTGCCGAAGCCCCTGCCGTATGACAGCAGGCGGTTCAAGAAGGTCAGTCAGAGGGAAGTTCAGGGATGCACTGAAAGCTTTTTGTTGAGGTCTATATGCATTAATTGCATGCATGGCATTCACACGCTGGCTCTCCGGCTATGTGTGTATACTGCACTGCAGAACCCGCGCATCGTGTTTGAGAACTTGTGGGAATACATGTTGTATCAACGCCATCGCACAGCCCCTCGTGAGGCTCCACCCCCTCTCCCGCTATCTAGTCAAGAGCACGTGTGTGAGCGCACGTACACCAAGAGCAGACAGCACCGACGCACGTACTTGATGCACTCATTTCCTGTAATACTCACTTATGTGTCTCTCTGTGCAGCCGGGAAGAACATCATGGCCAACGAGGCAGGCATCATCGGCCGCTACGAAAACTACAAGCCGTCAGTCAGGGGTACAGTACACACGAACCCACACATGGATGGATGGATGGATGTCCGTGTTGACACATACATGCAGCCCTTCCTGTCCTCTCTACTTGTGTGTGTGTCGTGCAGAGAAGAAGGTCGAGGAGATGTTGCTGGAGAACAGGGAGAAGTTCAACTGCAAAGACGACACCAAGGCCAAGGAGCTCAAGGCCATGATGAGCGCTCAGCTGCCCGACAGAGACCCCAAGGACGACCCCCATACTTCGATGCTGGTCGAGAGCCTTCGACTGGCCAGGTAGGTATCATTCATCAGAGATGGCCGGAGGGCCGGCAGGAAGGAGGCAAGGAAGGAGGAGGCCGGCAGGGGGAGAGGGATACATACCTACATGTCTGTCTGTCTGTCTGTCCTTTGATGGTTTGCAGTGGTGTATATTTGCCGTCGCCGGAGGAGAGGGACAAGCGCAGGGGGCTCAAGACCAACACGCCGCTCACTGTGAGCGTCGCCGCAGAGACCTTCAGCCGCACTCTCATCCGCACCTCACCAACACTCAGTAAGTCATCAAATGATGGATGAAGCAGAGAGAGAGAGGGAGAGACAGAAGGGAGGGAGGGAGGGAGGGAGGAAGGGAGCAAAGACACACTAGCTTGTGCTTCTCTACACAGACACACGAAAATCCGTGATGTCAGCTGGACGACTTCCCCAACGATGTGGCTCGCGGCGAGATCCTCGTGACGGGCCTTCCTGCCACTGCGACCGACGCGAGAGTGCGGCAGTGGTTCGAGAGGCGGCTGGGAGAAGAGGTCCATGAAATCAGAAGACCGCATCCTGAAGACCTCACGTGAGCGTGCCTCTCATGCGCATCTACTCCCTTGAGTGACCGTGCTCTGCCCGCTTGGTGTGTGTGTGTGTGTGTGTGTTGATGCAGAGTTGCCCGGGTCGCCTTCTGCAACGAGGACGCCGCCGACCTCGCGGCACGTCTCGACGATTCGGTGAGCGCTGGTGGCTGGGTGTCACTAGTATGTATCATCACGCTTATTGTGTGTTGGTGGTGTAGTTCTTCGAGTGGTGCTACATTCGTGTCCGTGCAGCGCCCCTGCCGTGTGTGGGCGAGAAGCAGCGGTACCCGCGGCCGATTCAGGGCCTTCCCAAGGTGGAGCAGCTGGCCACCGGCTTCAACCACACCATCGCCCTGGCTGACGGAGCCATAAGCAAGCAAGAGATCAAAGACAAATAGTGCCTGTAGTCACCTCTACTCACCAACTGACTGTTTCTCTGGTTTGTGTATTGTCTCAGTCACATCAAACACAGAAAAGGTGTTTGTGTGGGGCGACAACAAGTACGGCCAGCTGACGTTCCCCTCTGATGCCGCCACCGCCCTCTTCTGGCCGACAAAAGGAGAGCCACAGAGGTTAGCCCGCCGGATTGACTGACTGGTCCCTCACCTGCCTCCACGTACGCCTTTGAGTGTGCGTATGTGTGCAGCCTGGGCATCGAGGGGCCCCATCGGCCGCATATGGCGCATGGCGACGTGACCATCATCGGTAATCATCGGCCCCTGTGTCTCAAGTACTACGGCACAGCTGGGCATCGGTGCGTCCGGCGAGCCGTTGATCTTCATCCCAGCTTGACAAGAGACATGAGCGAATCTCTGCCTACACTTTACATCTTGACGTCATTTCGTTTCGCCGCTATAGCTAGCTGGCTGAATGGATGGAATAAAGATATGAATCAAGTGTGTGGTACATGTGTCGACGGAACGTATGCACACGTTTATGGCAGCGGGCAGACAGGCAGACATGGACACGAATGGCCACTGTGTGTCGGTCTTTCTTTCGGTCAATGATGGTGGGGGTGTCACGGCCCACCGTGATTGATTGCACAGCTATGTGCACTTGCTCTGCGCGAGGACGACGGCACCCACACAAAACAAATGCAAACACAGCTTTCCTTCCTTGCGACTCGTCCACCAACACATCATGCAAACACATGCATGTACGCACCTATGCAAACACATACACATACAAATTCAGGCACAGGCATATGCACGTGTGTGTGTGGTGTGTGGGGTATTGTCTGTGTGTTCATTCCTCCTCTTCTGTTTTGATGACGGTGTCTGTCTCGCCGTGCCCCTCTCCGTCTCCCTCTCCCTCTCCCTCTTTCTCTTTCTTGGCTCTCTGTCTGGTCTGGCTCGCTCGCAGCACTATCGTGCCGTCAGCCCTCTCTCACACGACACCTCTTCTTAGCTCCCTGCCTCACCATACCAACCATCGACTTAGGCCTGCCGCCGTACTGGTACTCGACGGACAGCAGGACACTGTCGAGTGTCGGGAAGGCTGAAAACGCCTCAACCACACACTCAGCGAACGAGCCGCAACACGTGCGCAGCTCGCGGGCGCTGGCATATGTAATCTTGATGCACACCTCGAGTGATGAAACACGGCCATTCTCCATGACCTCCCTGACTGCCTCGCTCTCCCCGTTCCCGTACATTTCCCAACCGATAGAAATGTCAGCACGTTCCTCTCTGTCTAAGTCATAGTTGTAGCGCCAGCCGTCACATGTGATATCATACTTCAGCTGGACTGCTAACTCCTTGCCTTCGCTTGACACGGACTCGAGGCCATCAGGCACGAGAGTGCATGTGGCCTCAGGGTCCGCGCAGACAGACAACTCAAAACACACCTTCTCTAGGTAGGGGGAGAGGGCATGCAGCACATAGCCCGCCCCACGCCCAGACGCACCCACGCCCACTGGCAGCGCCCCCTCCCTCACCACAATAGACGAGACGCTCGGGAAGAGCGATGTGGGGTCGTCCGTGATGTATGAGGGCAGCAGGCCGGTGCCGGGGTAACGCACGATGGTGAGCTCGTGGGCATGCTCAAACACCATCGAATCCAGCCCGGGGGCCTCTTTGATGGTGTCGGCGGACGCATGGCTGTCGAGGGTCACCTTCTCGGCCTGCTTGCAGCACATGTCCACCGTGGCGAGGGAGTCGGTGAGGGCCTTCTTGTCGCCTCTGAAGGGCAGGTGGACGGTGGGGCCGCCCTGCAGCTCGCCCTCCTCG